CCAAACCCGTTCCGCTTGCTAACTTCACTAGATGTCTAGTTGAATGTAGACTTACCCTATTTTGAGCAATCGATGACCATCCTTAATCGATTGGTATAAGAGCTACGTTCAAAGGAAGTTGCCTCAGTGTAAGCACTATGAAGGAATCGTTCAAGAAAGGAATTCACATGGGACGCGAAGGACATAGAGTGAGAGGAATACCCATGTCTTTTCCACATTAGGTGAGTACCTTTCTTGAAATTCAAGGACCAAATTTCCTTAAGGGGGGAATGTAACACCCACAAAAAAAAATAGGGGGAGATTTTTTTCCCTGAATCACTCTCTCTTTCCTCCTTTTTGGTTTTCCTTCGCCCCCAGTTTTCCCTCTTCTTTACTTTTCCCACTTTTCCTTTCGTTTTTCTTTTTCTTTTTTCTCTCTTCTTTCCCCTCCCACTTTCCTCTTCTACTTCTCTACACTTTCTAGCCACTTGAAGACCACCCAAACTGGCACTGTTCTGTTCCACCCAAGTCGTTGTCGAAGCTAACTAAAACTGAGCTGCCGTTCCAGCACTGCTCGAGTTGTTGTCCCATGCTGTTCCATTCCGTTTGAAGCCGCCAAACCAGCCACCTGAAACTAGAGTCACCCACAACCAGTCTGTCTAATCTGTCCAGAGCTGGTCCACCTAAGTCGTTCGAAGCTGTCCACCGTCCATTGCCCGAAAGCTGTTCGTCGTGCTGTTGTCCCAAAAGGTAACCCAATAAGGGGGTGAATTGGGTTTTTTATGCGAAAGCAAAGAGTGTGAAAAATTAAAAAACAACAAAAAATATTGAATCAAATAAACTTATACAATTCATCCAATAATAAATATAAAACAATTGTAAGTAAAGTAAAGAGAGTAGGGATAAGAGATGCAAACTCTTTTATAGTAGTTCGACTTGCTACCTAAGTCTACGTCCACTCTCTCGAGCTCCAATCGGCCGAGGTTCCACTAAGTCTCTTACACTTGACATAGACAAGAAATTCCGAGTACAAACAAAGTTCCTTGCACTTAGCAAAGGCAAGAAATCCCGATTACAAAGCCTTTGATTCGATGAGCTTCAAACACCAATACAAATAGTAATGAAGATAAATAGAATGTAGCAATTCTTCTTAAGTAGGATTAGCTATCACTCATGTATAAAAATGATATCACTTCAAAGAGGCACTCTCAAGAATAAAACAATTTGCTCTATATGCATTCTTTGTGTATTAATAAATAATGAAGCACAAAGAATTTTAGAGAGAAATTGATGAGACTTTGTGAGCTTGTTGTTATGTGTTTCTCCTTCAATCTATGCTCTTTTCATAGGCAAACACACTAAAGAGACGTTGGCCTTTGTGAAAGACAAAATCATTTATTAATAGTAATTACACATTGGTTCATTTCAAAAATTCAAATAAAATGGCTCTGAATTTTCAAAATATTTTAAAAAATTCTTGAATACTCCTCAATGAGTCTATTTTCAAATGCAAAATGAATCATTGAATTATCGTGCACTGTTTGAGAGAAATCATCAAATCTTTAACAACATGCCAGACAGTAAATTTGCTTTTGATAAAAGTTGTTGACCAAGTTCAAAATTGTCTAGAAATTTGAATTTGTATTTAAAAATAACAAATTATATATTGTTGAAAAGCTAATATGTCTACTTTTATTCAAAATTGGATTTATACAAATTTGACTTTTATATTTTGAAATATAATTAACATACTGTAGTATACTTATTTTATCTGCAGACAGTGTAACTTAGCAGAATGGTCCACTTTGAAAATTATATCTATCAATATATAAGTGTAAAAACATGCATATAATATATGCATTTAAAGCTCAGCACGTATACTTCACAAATAAAATTAATTCAGAATTTTATTTATATCATAAGTTTATATTTTACTAATTAAAACTAATATCGCACAAATTTCAAAAATGACTTTTTTAGAAAATAATATATGAGATTGATGTAATAAACTTCTTTAATAAAAAATAATATATATGATGAATTATACATCAAAATAAAGATATTTGAGTGTAGTTTCATATAAAATTGACTTTATAATTTTTTGACTTTTTAACAGTAAGATATAATCAATTTATTACACACATATCTAATTTGACAGCTTCACAATCTAGTATATATAGTGTATGTAGTTAAATAACAAACTTAATATTATAAATTGTTCATATTATCCATTATATAAATATATACATATAATAATTTTAATTTGTTTTGTCATTATCAAAATAAATATAAAATCTCGAGGCTAACATGTGTATCACCCGAAAAACCAACTACCTGAACGCCATGCGTCGCCTAGACTCGGAAGCTGACCCACGGTGTGCCATCAGAAATGGATCACCTTGCGTCGCCGGATTTGGCTTTTTCAAGCCACACAAAAGATGACCCGATCAACCCGCTCTACACCACCTGAAGCTAAGTCACTTGAGTCACTCGAAACCAAACCGTGAGAGCCCCTGGGGACTGACCTGTTGCAGCCATTGGAAAACTGATCTATGCCAAGCCGCTTGGATCCAACCCGCTTCGGCCCGCTCGAAGCTGACTCGTTCCAACCCTTTGTACGCTGCCAGAACCAAAATAGTCTATATTGCACAACCAGAGTCGCTCAACTCTGTATCGCCTGAACCAAAGCAGAATTGCCCTACTCAACCATCGATTTTATAAGCCTCGAGTACATAGTCCAAAAACAATCGACTGTTTGACTTTCACTGTGAGTAGTAATATGGATTTTCTTAGGTTCTACAAAGTATTATATGTCGTTCTATATATCTGCTATAATAAGTTATGATATATGTGATTTTGTGAGCGATAGTATATATTTCCAACTATTCCTGTAAAAAGTTAGGAGCTTTCTACGTTTTCTATTATTGTTTTGTGTATTATAGTTGTTTGACACGAGGAGATGATTACACGTATATATATATATATATCTGTGTGTGTGTGTGTTCTGGTGTGTGTATTCTTGATGGAATGTGAAATATGAACTGAATGAGATACTTTATCTAAAAACGAAAATGAGTACTATACGCTTCGATTATGAATAAGGAGATTCTGTTAAGATTTGGGTACTATAGGGGTAGTAGTAAGTAGGGATGGTGATAAGTGGGGACGATGGTAAGTAAGGAGTCCGGTCTGTGATTCTCGCCCACGATTCTCGCCTGTAATTCTTGCCTACCGTACCAAGATTTACTATTATCTGCTACTTGCTTTAGATCGTATTTCTGCTACTTTATGATATCATGATGACGTATGATGATTGAACAATGAAACTAATATATCTTATGTGTTTTACTTTTGGATTCGCATATTATTACTCACTGAGACATAGTCTCACTCATTTGTTTTTCTCCCCTTAGATTTCCACATTGATTTTGGAGCCAACCCTCCCCACTAAGTCGGGGTATACTTTAGGTGAGTCCCATATGGTTGTGCTTGCGTGTGGGCTATTCTTTTGCATCATTGTTTTGCTTGCGTAGTATGTATATTTTTAAATAGCAGCGGTTTTAGATTGCCCCAAATTGCCACGAATAGGAACTTTGTAACTTGTATTGAATTGGAGTTTATGTATGTAATCTAGTTGTTGTTCAAAAGTTTAGAAGTCGGTTTACTTGCTTGCTATTGAGTAGATGTTGGTTTATTAATTTGTATATATATCTTTGAACTGCCTGGTGATTTTCTGTTGCATAACAGGGACCTATTTGATAGGTTAAAAATTTGCGATATGTCATGTTTATAGGAGAGATTCTGCCAAAATTTTTGAAAATTCCACACTTAGATTTATTTTGATAGTGATTTTGGAAGTTAACTAGGGTGCATAAGTCTACCCTAGTGCCAATCACGTGCCCCTTGTTTTGTTCATGACGAAGAGTAATTCACATGTTACACTCAAAAAATAAGGGTTTTTTAATACTTCGCGCTCCAATATTATAATCTTGACATTTTGTACTCTAACTTTATCATAAATGCACCCTCATTATAAAATTGAGAGGTAAAATCAAAAGTTTATATTAGTGGAGGGTAAAAAGACCAGAAAAAAAATACTTGGACCCTTTTTTCTTTTTCCCCTCTATTCAAAATTCTTTCTATTTTCTATAAATTTTTATTCATTTCTTTAATAATTTAATTCATAAATTATAACCTAAAGGTATCAATTTCTTTTTTAATTTTTTTTTGGAGAAATTAGACCGTGGAGAAAAGAGAAAACTTTATATATTTTCAAACTTGTATTATGTTTTTTAGTTTTTTATTCATTTTATTACTTTTATTATTGATTAAAAATAATAATATGAAGTTTTTAAAATTTTTCAAATAAAAAAGCATGCTTTAAAAATAATGCCAAACATGGTTATTTTTTAAAAATAAAAAATAATTTTATAAAATAAATATAAATATCTTGTCATTTTTTGTCTAAACAAATAGGTTAGAATTTAATATATTAATAATTAAACAAGTTGGAATTTAAGTTATTTAACTACATAATCTTAAATTTAAAATTTTTTGTTTTTCTCTAACAAAATTAAATAAATTATATTTACAAGGAAAATAAACAATTTAAAACATACAGTATCACAAATTTATATTTATCCAAAAAAAATAAAGTAAAGTTTGACATATTTAGGTTAGAATTTATTAAGTAATTTATTGAAGAAATGAGTAAAATAATTTTTTAAAAAAACTTAAGAATGTTGAATAGAGTGATAATAGATAAAAGTGGGATTTAATTTTTTTTTTTATCTTTTTATGTTCCAAAGGTACAAATTTTGAATTTTATCCATTGATTTTATGTCTAGAGTGCATATTTAATAAATTGAGGTGCTTAAACATTAAGATTATAATATTGAAGTGCAAGTGCTAAAAACCCCTATTTTTAGTGTGTAATTTACAAATTAATTCCCGTTTAAACATAAAAACAAGTATGCAGTCGTTTTATTGAAAATGCATTTACTAAATAGTCACAGAGAATATCAATGATTGAGTAACGAGGCCAACATCTGGAGGCGTTTCATTTGCAGGCGTGTCATCCCAGTGTATTTCACGCCTGCACGCGCACTCGCTTCTATGTGGTAAATTATAATTTTGAAGGCATAAACCACCGAAGAAATAGCATACGACACCAACAGAGTAGCAAGAGCATACGAGTAAGAGGGCGATATGGCCATAAAGGCGAAGCCGTAGCTAACCATTAGGAAGGCCAGCGAAAGCAGCAGAGTCCAAAAAATTAAGAACGGTTGCGGTTGGAGGGCGATGATGATCACCGTGGTAGAGGCGAGGAAGACTAGAGTGTTCATCAAGTAGAAAGTGGAGAAGAAGTTTCCGTACGTAATATCTTTCCCTTTCCGCCTTTTGAAGAGCACTCGATCGACATGATTAGTGGCATTACTACTGGTGGTGGCTGTGGTGGATATAGTGGCGTTCATATGGGTGATATTAGCTGGAAAACCGGTGGACATGGTGGCATTTATGACTGTTCCGTTGGTGAGAAGGTTGCCGTTTCCGTTATTGTCCCCGTGGTCAAGTAGTCCACCCGGAGGCTGAAGAATGGCCTGGAAGGTCGATGTGGCAATCAGGACGGCAACCACAAGAATCAAGTTGCGCCTTTCCGTAGACAAATATCTTCCGCCAAGAATAATGGATTTAAACACTATTTCCACGAACTGTTCCGGCGACTTCAAGTAATCAACATGGCGGTACTCTGCACTAGGTAGAGTTGAACTCTTTGAAGCTCTTGCGTCGCGCAGAATCTTCTTAATTTTCGAACTACCCTCTCCTTGAGGCAGTCCTTCGGCCACGTCCAAGGCAGTGTCGCCCTCTTTGTTCACTTCATCTTTGTTTATGCCTTTTTTTGCTACTAGTAACTCAACTATCTGCATCACCCAGACACATACACTCCCAAATTTTAGGTTTATCTTTTCATTCCGTGAAAGCACAGAAAAAAAAAATTAATGTAGAACCATAATAATAATAATAATAATAATAATAATAATAATAATAATAATAATAATAATAATAATAATAATAATCACGTGCCTTCGGCTGCAAATTTGAGACCGCTAAATGCAAGACGGTGTTGCCATCCTTGTCTTTGCGGTTGAGGACCCCTGTATTGTTGGTCTTCCGGATCCATCCCAAAGGGACTTCCACGGCTGTAACGTTGGACTTCTTCACGGCAATGTGCAATGCAGTCTCATCATGAACTGTACGATCGTTAATTGATTCAGGGCAGTCAAATAGAAATCTTGCTAAAAGATGGCAATCATCATCTTGTGCGGCTGCCAAATGTAGAGGAGTGGCTCCCCCACGTCCCTTGAGCCGTACCAGCTCTTTATCAAACGCCACGAGCCGCATTACGATCTCAGACTGCCTACTTTGCACTGCTAGGTGCAAGGGGCTAAGCCCGTCTGGGTTCAGTTTACTAGCAAACGACGCCTTTAAGCTAATGATTTCCATGGCGAAATCAATGCGTTTAGCTAAGAGGTCCTCGCCCGGAGGATGATTAGTCGAGACAGCCTTGTGTAGAGGAGTATCAACAAAAGGGATGTTTTGTATTCGATCTAAAATATCTGGGGCCTCACGCAGTTTGTTGTACAAAGCATCAACATCTCCCACCTCAGCAGCTGATTCAAAAAACTATGATTCTTTTCCATTTTCTGGATAGTTAATGAAGAAAGATCAAGCTAGTTCTAGTGCTTTATAATGTCTCTTCTTTACATAAAGGCATCCTTGCAGATAATTATATTCCAACGCAACTACTAGAGCACTTACGGAATAGCCATCTTCTTTTCTTGTTTTGGAAGGGTATGAATGACTTTTTGCTGTTGCAGAGATGTCTGCTTGAGCGGAGCTGTTCCAAAATAAAAGCTGCATATGAAAATTCACCCAAAATTTGAGGTCTTTATTTTAATTATTTCATGAACTAAAAAGACATCTGTCTTTGTTTAAGCTCAGTTAGGCTTGTCAATGGATTAGAGTTATATTCGAATTTCATCCGTATTCGATCCAAAATTTAGAATTTAAATTCAATTAAAATATTAGATGAATCAAATTAATTAATAAGTATATATATAATTTTAAATAAATAGATTAGATATAAAATTAAAAATTTCGATCAATTAAGGATCCAAATCTATATTTTAATAATATTTTTAATTAAATTAACAATCTTATATATAGAATATTAATAAATTCAAAATTATATGAAGTAAATTAGAAAAATTAGAAAATACAGATCTTATACGATTTTAGATCATATTTGAATATAAAAATAGTTAATTAGATTTAGATGCAGACATATAATTTGAATCAAATTCGACCCATTGATAACCCGAAGTCCAATTATTCTAAAGTAAAAGCTACCCACAATTTAAGGTCTTGTATTTTTATTTCTTTTTTCTTTTGTTTTTCTAAATTTCATAATTTATAAATAAAAAATATAAAAAAATACTTGATAAAGTTTTTTTTATAATTTTATATATAACTTAAATTTATAAATTAAATAGCTTATAAAAAGAAAATTATAATAGAAATGATAAAAAAATTTATAAAGGGAAGTCAATTTTTAATTTTTTAATTATGATTCCTGTGTTCTTTTTTATTTCTTTTTTTTTGCTTTTTTAAATTTCATAATTTGTAAATTTAATTTCTAAATAAAAATATAGTTAAAATAAAAACTTACAAAATGCAAAGTATTTTTACATTTTTATTTATAAGTAAAATTTATAAATTATAAAATTTTAAGAAATTAAAAACGCAAAAAATAAGTTAAGGAAAAAAAAGAAGGAAAGTCACTTCTTGTCAAGGCCTTAACCCAGACCCTGACTAGCACTAGGGTCCCCAACTCTAGTCAGCCTTACCGTCGCAAACATATGCAAGAACCAACCAGCACATTTATATAAATATATTTCGACACCGTCATTTGCAAGCCAGGATCCTGCCCGAGTGATAAAGGGAGCTCTAGAATGCAAAATAGGTAAACAAGGAACTCGCCTGTACATCAAATGAAGTGGCAAACAACCGTCTCAATCCTGGCACGCACCCCGAGAACTACAACCTATATCTGGAAAGTTTATAATAAGTGAGTCGCAAAATTTAGTGAGTACGGATGATACCTACTCTATGCATGTTAGAATATGCATCATGCCACACTTTAAACCATACTGACATATACAGCAATTAATAACATATCAACTATACTCTGAAAAACAACGCTAACCACGCATCACATCACATCACATCAATTCACATTACAACACAGGACCTAGGTCTACTCACCACTAGACACTACGGATCACCGTACCCAGCCGAGTTCTTGACATCGCAGTTACCTCACCCGACCCAGGCCGCGCACCACTGGACGCTACGGACCGTACTCCAGCCGAGTTCCTAGCATCGCTAGTAACTCACCCGACCCAGGCCGCTCACCACTGGACGCTACGGACCACCGTACTCCAGCCGAGTTCCTGGCATCGCTAGTAACTCCCCCGACCTAGGCCGCTCACAACTGGACCCTACATATCCGTACTCTAGCCGAATTCCTAGCATCCCCACATCACATCACATCACATCACATCACACAATACCATCCTCACACGCAAGTTAAACCAGGTACACATACACACCCTAAATCCATATCTCCCAAAATCAGTGGTACATACTAACATTGTTTATTAACAGTTCATAAACACATAACACGCATTTCAAGATTCATATATCAAACACAGTCTCGCAATTCCATGCAGACACCATGCTAGAAAACAAGTATAAAACACATGTATAGAAAGGGTATCATCACTCACCGTGCAGACCACGTCTAACAAGAGTCTCCGGTCACCTCAACCAAATCTACGGTCCCGATGCTCCTCCACGGGTGGACCTAAAGTCAAACCATACAAAACCATCACTAACCCCATCGTCAGTACTCAAACAGGCTCGACAGTCCAAGACAAGACTTAAATCCCATCCTCGCACCTGACACGCATCCCGAGGCACTACTACTCACTACCGATCCCCGTGACTTGCTAACACTCACCCTTCGGCCCAACAACCCCTAACAGTAAATGACCAGCCTCCACCACCCCCAACCCACAGTGAACCGGTCTCCGAAACCCCCGAATGGGCCTAACCTGATCTCAAAACTACCTCAAACTCAACTTGATTGGCCACAAAACCATCAAAAATGGATTCAGAAGACCCAAAAATCTTAGAGACCATATTAACCTGACCAAAAACCTCTAAAGTTAGGTCAAACCGGGCCAAAAACCCTAATTCAAAATATCTGCACGCAAACCGAGGCCAATTCACCTGGAACCAGACCTCTAAACATCACCAAATTTCATGGTCAACTAGGTTTCATCATATTGAACTAGGAACCTGTCCAATTTTCCCAAGAACCGGCCCAAAAATCGATGAACCGGTCACCCGAAGGAATTACACTAAATCGGTTAGTTCACCTCGAACCGGCCACCCAAAATTTTCCGAACCCACTTGGTTTGGATGGGTATTTTTTCTTCTTGAATTCAGAACCGGTCCAACTTCCCAAATCTGAGTCTATTTGACCACTGAATCGGTCGGTCAAACTTTGGACCGTTCCGGCCAGTTCGGTCAATTCCCAGAACCCTAATCCCAGAATTTAAGGTTATGCTATCCTCTACTATCCCCAATTAACCCCTATCCCTGATCCCTTATCCCCCCGGAACATTCTATTCCAATTTTCCCCTCTGGGTCAGCTCGGTTGAGTCGACTCAGCCCAGTCTCGCCTGAGCTTGGCCCGCGGCTCAACCCACAGGCCCGCAGCCTTCCTGGGCCGAGCCCAGCCCAACAGGGTGGGCCGGCCCAGCACAGGGACCCAGACCCATCCGGGTCCCTTCTTCCCTACTCAAGCCCCTAACTCGGGTCAGTAACCCCGCCCCCCCTTCGTGGCTGGCCAGCGGCTCAGGGTCGCGGCCCTGCAACCTGGGCAAGCCAAGCCCAAGCCCACAGCCCGAGCCGAGCCCGAATCGCCCTTCGAACGGGACCCGGCCAAGCCAGGTTCTTTCTTCCTCGCCCGACCCCGCAGAAGCTCAACCCGACCCCCCTTGCAACGCCGGAAACACCACCACTCCAAAATTCCAAAATTTCTCAGCTTCTCAGACTCGATCAGGACCCTTAAATCAAAATTCCAAAGTTCCCAAACCATAATTTAATCTTTAATTGAAGGGAAAGTGATTGAAAGTTAGAAAACTCACAAAATCTCTCCGTCGGGCACCGCTATTCTTCTAGCTTTCTTCTTCTCAATTTCCTCCTCGAAAACCCAAATTGTTCACTCCCTTCTGTTCGACTCTTGTCCACAAATAAACCTGCAAAAATTGTAGAAGCTGGCTTGCTCCTATTGGAGCAAATTCCAGCTTCTACACCCTTCGGCCGGCTTCCGGCCGAAGGTCCCCTTTCCCTTTTTTTTTTTCAATTCAGTCCCCCACATTTTGATCTCTTCATTTTAGTCCCAAATTTTCAGATTCACCCCAAACATTTTAATTACTACAAAATGGTCCCTAATGAAAATGAAAACAAAATTGGGACATTACACTTCTATAATAAAAAAATAAAATAAAAAGTAAGGGAAGTTGGTTCAGCCAGAACCTATTTCTCTTTAATTTCAAATAAATAAAAAACAATTTTGTTAGAAAATTGACTTTTCAATATCTCCATTTGACTACATTTTGGTAAATAATTCTAAAATATCACATTTTAATAAATAATTTAAAATATTATAATTTAGTAAATAATTTTAAAAATTAATATTAATTTTAGAAAAGCCCCCTTATATCTAAAATAAAAGGTGCTCCAACAGACCGGATAACTTATGAAAAAAGTCAATCTAAACTAAAGACAATAACAGCCCATCCCTAAGAAAAGGATTAAACCTCAACCTTAATAAAAAGAACCAAAAAGTTTGAAATTCTGATATCACACAAGGATGGCGATAAATGAGATATCACTGAGCAGATCCCACGTACTCAAATAATTCTATATATTAGGTTCAATTAGGTTTTACAATTTATTGTCTTCACTGAACGTCTTCCAGTACAATAGCTTTCCTAAACTTGGATCCAAATACGACATGAAGCAAACTTTTGAGGACTGGTACTTCTAGTTTGGTTTGATTTTAATTAATTAAAACCATCCTTTCTTAGCTGCCAAGCTTCAGCAGGGATTAAACACTTTGCTCTTCATCATCAATTCCTCCACTTTCTCGGACGTAAACGAGTACTCATTTCTTCTTTTCCAGCGTGATAAACATGGAAAAAGAGTTGCTGGAATCACGCATCAATAGAAGCAGAGAAAATAAATGAATAAATACTGACGAAGAGAGCACGAATAAAAGAAACGAAGCAGAAGCCGGTCGGCTGTTAGTCAAAGTCTTCTCGTTGGGGTTGGCCTTCTATTTTTCTTTGTAAGTACTCAAGAGAGCGTAAAGGCCTTTAAAGCGTCCTTCTGTGGTGCCATAAGGCCTTGGTCGTCCAAACGTGCTTCTTGCCTTCTCAATTACAAAGAAATTTTCTTTGGGGCAAGTTTTTCTTTAAACGTGGAGCCCACGCCGATTCACAGTAAGACCGGTTGT